AGGAGTGCTTGCTCGTCAAAGAAGACAAGAGGGTGCAGGAGCCCAACGTCTTGTTCGGAACGTCAGAAATGAAGAAGCTGTGCTTCGAATAGTCGAAGAAAACCCTACAAGGAGCATCAGGACGGTGACTCGTATGGTCAATGTATCCATAACGAGTACGCATCGAATTTTGAATTACAACCAAATGCACGCTTTCCATTTCTCGCGTGTACACAATCTAATGCCTCCAGACTACGAAAGTCGAATTGATTTTTGTCGGTGGTTATTGCAGCAACACGAACAAGACGCACATTTCATACAGAATATTTTATTCACCGATGAATCAATTTTCACACGCGATGGCACATTCAACACCCATAATTATTATTTTTGGGGAAATGAAAATCCCCATCAATTCCGGATCAGGAGTTTCCAGCATCGGTTCAGCATAAACTTGTGGGCTGGGATACATAATAATACTATAGTAAGCATTTACATATTTTAGCATTTGTATTGAATAACTATTTAATTTTTCTTGTGATTATCTCAGTAACTAATATGTATTGTCAATTTTGAGAACGTATGTAAATTTTTAGAGGTGATTTTTAATTATTAAATTTGCTAATGCTGAGATTAACTTAAAAAAGCAACTTCACATTTACTATTAACTATTAACTATTGTTATCATTTATTATTACATATTCCTATGTAAGCATAATTTCAATCTCAGTCTTTGCTTTTATAGCGTAACTACACAAACTTTGTGAAAAATAGTACAATTAAGTAACACAACGATACTTCAATAGATAGGACCATTCGAGCTTCCCGCTCGAGTTACTGGCGAAATCTATCGTCATTTTTTGGTTGAGGATTTACCGGGACTTCTAGAAGACATGTCATTGGCGGAATGCCGTGCAATGTGGTACCAGCACGATGGAGCATCACCACATTACGCAAGAGGAACTCGAGAAATCTTAAATGAAATGTATCCCGATATGTGGCCGTGGTGGTCCTAGAGCTTGGCCAGCGAGATCCCCTGATCTCACATCACTCGATTTTTTTTATGGGCTGCTATAAAAGAATACGTGTATTCTGAACCGGTTAACAATATCCAAGAATTAAATGATCGCATTACAGAAGCGGTGGCAACCATTACCCCAGAAATGATTCAACGGTCAAGACAAAGTTTAATACAATGCGCGCAACTTTGTATCGAAGTGGGTGGAGGTCAATTCGAACACTTGCTGTAAAAAGTTATGCAATGCAATTGTTTAAAAATTATTTTAATGGCATTCAACGTTATACGACGATAATAAAAAATTTGGGTTAAGTTTAAATTCTTGTAATAAATAAGTCTGAAGTTATTATAAGATAATTATCGAATAAAGAATTATTTCTTGATGAAACATTTCATTATAATTATTTATTTTATGTTATAACGGAAAAGTAAGCGGAACGAAAAAACTTACATTTACAATGACAGATTGAAAATAATGTACAATTTTCAGTTACAGCTTAGTTTCTCTTTATACCAGTAATTAAATAGTTGAAAAGAAAATACTATGTAATGAAAAAACTTTGAAAACTTAAAAAAAATTTTATTTCCGCCGCGAGTGTAAGTTGTATGACTCAATTATACTTTTATGACTTTAACAGAAATATTTCCATAGAAGATTCTTTAAAATTGGGGATCAATGCATACATACTTTGACAATTTAAAACTCTTCGAGTTAAGATTCTTCGTTGATGCCGCTTCGGATATTTCCAAAAATCAGTAGCAACATCAGTAGCAAAAACGATAGAAAACAAATGAAAACAATTACGAGTAATTGATGTGGCAGAATGTATTGCGAACAAGAATGGTTCATGCCGCGCCGCTCCTGACGGCGCGAAATGCGGGCCCCGTGGTTGCTTAACTTCTAATGCGTTTTATTCAAAAACTATCGATCTCACAACTTTCTTGTAAGGACATTTTTTACTCACATTATCGAGATCTATCCACTCCTTCAAGGACCTGCGGTTGATCTGGAACACCCTGTATATAGTTTGTATCGTGCAATCACCAGTCTGCATTTAGTCTTTAAGTTCCATCTGCCGCGCCTGGTCAAACATGACCAACATCGAGCGTCGAAACTGTGTTCGCAGTATACATAACCGTTGCAAAGCAACGATTGTAAATAAATTGAATAAAGAATTTTATCTGTGTCACGGGTGATTTCCGCGCGATTCGTCGTCGGATAGCGGGAATCGGAAATCCGGATTCGGTAGGTTTTGAAATGAGTGAGAGCGTAAGATAACAAAAAAAAAGTGTTTATTGGATGTATGTAATTCAGAGTGTGCGTGTGCGCGTGTTGTGAATGTGATTTGTTCGAGCGCGATATTCGGCGTGAGACGCGAATTAAATGTTCGGCGTGTTATGCAGATATTGAGTCGCGAATGTACGACGTAAGCGTGCCGTATAATGATATTGAAATTATTAAAGAATGTACAATATTTTATAATCGTGCGTATTTCGGATATAATGCGGTTTCGGATCGTATTGATACCTTTAAACGATATTTACGGCGCGTGTTATGATTCCGGCGCAGTCAATGACCATCGCGCGTATAGTTTTTATGTATGCGCGTCTGAAAGATCGGTCTAGTCGGCTTTTTGTGCTGTTTACAAGAAATGCGCGTTATTTCCGGGAAAATGCTGAATGCGTTTACGCGGAATTGTATCGGTAATTCTCGGTATATAAGGAGAGTTTCCAGGAACGCAGTGCCGATGAGAATAATTCGTCCGAGGTAGCTCTCCTGTCTGCCTCGTGAAAAATGCACTAGCGTCTGGCGGATTGTAGACCGGTGATCGAGAACTCTCGAGTGCACTCTGATTCCTTTTCCTGGTCGGATTATTGATCGGATGGAATAATCTTGATCGAGGATCGAGAGTGCTCGATGGAGAAAAAGTTCGCTCTATCTTCTTTCCTCGAAGCTAGATTTTGTTTCGTATAGGAGCGGTCTAGGTTTCGGAGCTGCTTCACTGTCGTAAGCGGATCGGAAAAAGGTAATTAGTGTGCATAACGTGCCCGTTTTATAACGGCTTAATTGCCCGCGTCGGCGCGCGACGGTATTACCCCTTCCGAACGGGTTACGGAAAGCGGTATGGTCGGGGGCCCGCTCGGAGGAATTCGGAGTGCGCGCCGAGCGCGGGTTTTCGCCGGTCGCCGGATCGGGACACGTCGGCAACGCTCGGCGGTATTCAGCCTTTTCTGAAAGAGTTACAGTCATTTAAAACTGTGGGCGCACCGCACCCCTGCCTGTGCCCGGCAGGTGTTCTGCCGGGCGACAGCTTTCGGCGGATCGCATGCCGGGTAAAACGATGCAGCTAAGGGGGTGCACGGGATGCATCGTTACATCCGTCTAAACCGTGTGGTTTTGCGAGCCTGAGTCTCCTCTTCTCCCGAACTCTGACACCGGCGAACCGCGATCTGTGGCGTCGGGAAAGGTGCTCTTACAAACATATTTGACTAGATAGAAATAAAATAATACGACTCAAGAGTGATGTTGGAATTTCGCACAATCGATGCAATACTGATTGTCATAGAGATGAAATAATTTTTCAATATTAATTTTAATTTAAATGTTATTCGCTGAAAAATATAAAAATCGATTTTCATCAAGGAACTGTTTTAATCCCTTAATAGCTGTATAGACATATAAAAAAATACATATCTCTTATTTTGATCTAAACTATAACATATTTAAAGCTCATCAAAATATAAGGGCAATTTCTATATTTTCCCTTATTAGAAAGAAAATGATTAACAGTTAGAGTTGTACATTCATCGGTTAAAAAGAAGGAGATTCCTCTTCTTAATAATTCTTAATTAATAGTCTTTGATGAAAGACGGTGAATGGAACCACTCTTTTTCTCTAAATACTAATTTCCATTTCCTTCCCTCTGGGAACAAAATTTGATCTCTTATAAAAAGTGTATTTCGATGAGAGGAATATTTTTGGATCGACTATTTATGAATGATTTTCCACGCAATGCGAAATCCATCCTATATCGTCAAATGTTGTTAGTGCAAAATGAGATCTTTTTAAAGCTCATCAAAATATAAGGGCAATTTCTATATTTTCCCTTATTAGAAAGAAAATGATTAACAGTTAGAGTTGTACATTCATCGGTTAAAAAGAAAGAGATTCCTCTTCTTAATAATTCTTAATTAATAGTCTTTGATGAAAGACGGTGAATGGAACCACTCTTTTTCTCTAAGTACTAATTTCCATTTCCTTCCCTCTGGGAACAAAATTTGATCTCTTATAAAAAGTGTATTTCGATGAGAGGAATATTTTTGGATCGACTATTTATGAATGATTTTCCACGCAATGCGAAATCCATCCTATATCGTCAAATGTTGTTAGTGCAAAATGAGATCTATTATCATATAGTTCCATATTTATCTTGCAATGTAAAGTTCATTCCATTTCGCCCGATGCTTTTAATGTAAAACGTTATTGAACAGTTGTTGAACGTTATTGAACGAGGTTATTGAACAGTTCTTCAATGCTTCAGTGCTTTGTTTACATTCTTACAGTAGCAATAGAAACATTTTCATAAAATAAATTTCCGAGTTTAAGTGTGTGTGTGTGTGTGTGTGTGTGTGTGTGTGTGTGTATAAGGTTTTGTTTTTAAATTTTTAAATTTCAATCACTTATTATTTATTAATTTTTTAACTCATAAATTATAACTATCAAGTTGGAGATCATGATGACTCAGAATGAAGACAGCATATGTCAATATCATTAATAAGATTGCTCTTTTTTTAAACATTTACCAGATTCTTGTTAGTTAAATGCATACGGATCTCCGAAGCTGATTTTCTTAAAAACAAAACTTTGTATGAAAAAATTTTATTTTATATTTTCAACTTGTATTTATATGAAGAAGCATCACTGCTTATCAGATTTACACATACACAGTCATACTTTTTATATATAGTATATTACATGTATAACACATAATATATACTTTACCTCTATTAAACCATGTGATTGCAATAGAAGATTGATAAGTTTCGTATCTGTTTGAAATATCTTATAAGTCATGTGCAGCTGTTTCGCAGGTGGATCTTCTGGCGGTGTGGCTAAAGCGGAACATCTGAAGAATAAATAGAATGTAATTATTTTTAAGGAGTTTAAAAATACATATACAGGGTGGGGCATTTATCTTGAGACAAAATAATATCTCGATTGGAGTCGATTATTTTGAAAAAAGTTTTAGACAAAAGTTGTATGGTTTCAAGGGGGACATAAAATGGTGTCATTAGTTTGATCTTGAAGAGCCACCTGAAGGACACGCGAAGGTCAGCTCCAACTTTTTAAATGGGACACCCTATATGCTTTTGCATATTCTTGTAGCTCATCTCAAGAGCTTTCCAAAACACTATAATTAAGTTAGTTTTCATTAAGTACTTTCCAAGTTATGAGGCTTGAAATCATTTTTTAATTTTACATAAACCGTAAAATATCTTGTAAAATATTCATTTTTCGATTATTTTACCTTAATACTTTTATGTACAAAATAATGAGAAAAATCAATTGGTGTAAAGAAAACTCATAGTTATTTCGAAAAAAAAAAATGTAATTTGCAATTAACAATTACATATTTTTTCTTAAAAATAACTATGTCTTTTCTTTACACCAATTGATTCCTCTCATTATTTTGTACATAAAAGTATTAAGGTAAAATAATCGAAAAATGAATATTTTACAAGATATTTTACGGTTTATGTAAAATTAAAAAATGATTTCAAGCCTCATAACTTGGAAAGTACTTAATGAAAACTAACTTAATTATAGTGTTTTGGAAAGCTCTTGAGATGAGCTACAAGAATATGCAAAAGCATATAGGGTATCCCATTTAAAAAGTTGGAGCTGATCTTCGCGTGTCCTTCAGGTGGCTCTTCAAGATCAAACTAATAACACTATCTTATGTCCCCCTTGAAACCATACAACTTTTGTCTAAAACTTTTTTCAAAATAATCGACTCCAATCGAGATATTATCTTGTCTCAAGATAAATGCCCCACCCTGTATAGTATACATATACAGAGTGATTCAAAATAACCCTTGTGTCCATGAAATGATTGTTGAGTCAATTCTAAGATGATTTTTCCTTTTGCAAAATTTCGTCCGAAGCTTAGTTTTCAAATTATTAAAGAAAGTAGTTAACGCATGACGGATCGGATACAAGAGGTAGGCAAGGGTGACGCGATTCACCGTCAGATGCGGGCGCTTACGCGGGGCGCCTGCTACGATCAGCTGGTCGCTATACACATACAGACACACATGCGAACACATACATTCTCTCTCTGTCTGTCTGTCTGTCTCTCTCTCTCATTCACTCACTCACCTGTGTTTTTTTTTTTTTTACGAGAGAGGGGAAAATGCATTTTATGCATACCTACCGGTCGATCCAGTGAGTTATGTAAGACTCGAGTACCAAATCGAATTACCAACTCGGTACTCCCTACTCACTAAAAACCTCTCTCTTTTTACGAATTTTCTTTGACATACTGTTCCTCTGACTTCCCGAGATTTGTTTTCACATAACGTCAAAAAATAGTTATTATTACCTTGTTCGATGACTTTTGATGTATTACTGTAATTGTTTGAAGGAGAAATGAATTTTCCGATAGATCGTACGTTCTCAAATTTAACATAGATATCACGTTGCTCAAGACAGAAATCCACACTAAATTATTAACTGAATGTTTTTCTTCTTTCATGAATTGCATTCTTTTATAAACTTTAACATAATCACATTTATTTACTCACTCGACGAGACGAGAAATTTACTAATGACTCTATCACTAATCACTATTAATCACTGTCGAATAATAACTGTTGGCGATTAAAAATCACTCGATAAAAAAAACACGCACGGACACGTTACTACACGACGCGACGACGCGACAATGCGACGATAATTACTCGGCGACTGCAAGCAGTTTTTTGTCATAGTAGATTGCGGTAGTAATAATATTAATATGTTAAATGTTTATTATGTTTACCGCATTCTTCAATCGAACACATGATCGCGTTCGATAGCGCCAGTAGTAGCCAGCCTTAACCTACCGCGACCTACTGACAAAAAACTGCTTGCAGTCGCCGAGTAATTATCGTCGCATTGTCGCGTCGTGTAGTAACGTGTCCGTGCGTGTTTCTTTTATCGAGTGATTTTTAATCGTCAACAGTTATTATTCGACAGTGATTAATAATGATTAGTGATAGAGTAATTAGTAAATTTCTCGTCTCGTCGAGTGAGTAAATAAATGTGATTATGTTAAAGTTTATAAAAGAATGCAATTCATGAAAGAAGAAAAACATTCAGTTAATAATTTAGTGTGGATTTCTGTCTTGTGCAACGTGATATCTACGTTAAATTTGAGAACGTACGATCTATCGGAAAATTCATTTCTCCTTCAAACAATTACAGTAATACATCAAAAGTCATCGAACAAGGTAATAATAACTATTTTTTGACGTTATCTGAAAATAAATCTCGGGAAGTCAGAGGAACAGTATGTCAAAGAAAATTCGTAAAAAGAGAGGGGTTTTTAGTGAGTAGGGAGTACCGAGTTGGTAATTCGACTTGGTACTAGAGTCCCACATAACTCACCGGATCGAGCGGTGGGTATGCATAAAATGCATTTTTCCCTCTCTCGTAAAAAAAAAAAAAAAAACACAGGTGAGTGAGCGAATGAAGGAGAGAGAGAGAGAGAGACAGACAGACAGACAGACAGCGGACAGAGAGAGAATGTATGTGTTCGCATGTGTGTCTGTATGTGTATGTATAGTGACCAGCTGATCGAAGCAGGCGCCCCGCGTAAGCGCCTGCGTCTGACGGTGAATCGCGCCACCCTTGCCTGCCTCTTGTATCCGATCCGTCATGTGTTAATTACTTTCTTTAATAATTCGAAAACTAAGCTTCGGACGAAATTTTGCAAAAGGAAATATTGTCTTAGAATTGACTCAACAATGTGTTATTTCACGGACACAGGGGTTATTTTGAATCACCCTGTATATATACAGGGTGACCCATTTTAACTTAGGCAGCCAAATAACTCGAAAAATAAGCACACTACGAAAAAATGGTTAGAATCAAAATTTCGTCATTTCGAGGGGGACGTACAATGACGTTAAAATCAGCCCCCCCACCCCTCCCCCTGGGCGGTGAGGGGAGGCAAGTTTGAAATCTTAAATGGGAACCCCTATTTTTTATTGCATATTCCTGTAGCTTATCTCGAGAGCTTTCCAAAACACTATAATTAAGTACCTTTTTATTAAGTACTTTTTGAGTTATAAGGCTTGAAATAATTTCTTAATTTTACATAAACCATAAAATATCTAGTAAACCATTCATTTTTCGATTATCTTACCTTCATACTTTTATGTACAAAATAATGAGAGGAATCAATTAGTGTAAAGAAAACACATAGTTGTTTCTAGGAAAAAATATGTAATTTGCAATTAACAATTTCATATTTTTTCTTAAAAACAACTGTATGTTTTCTTTACACCAATTGATTCCTCTCATTATTTTGTACATAAAAGTATTAAGGTAAAATAATCGAAAAGTGAATATTTTACAAGATATTTTACGGTTTATGTAAAATTAAGAAATGATTTGAAGCATTATAACTCGATAAATGCTTGAGGGAAAAATATTTTATTATAGTGTTTTGGAAAGCTCTCGAGGTCAGCTATAAGAATATACAATCAAAAATAGGGGTTCCTATTTAAAAAAACACTTTGACCTTCAAATAACCTTGAAGGTCGATCTCAAGGTTGAATTCAAGGTCACCATCAGATAGATCCCTCGAAATCATGCAAATTTCGTCTGAACCATTTTTTTGTACAAGCACATTCCTACGTTTTAAAAGGGTGGGACGGGTGGTCTGAAACACCCGGTATACAGGGTGACCCATTTTAACTTAGGCAGCCAAATAACTCGAAAACCAAGTCCGAGAGAGAAAAATATTTCAGACAAAAGTTGTATGGTTTCAAGGGGGACATAAGATGGTACCATTGGTTTGACCTTGAAGAGTTATTTGAAGGTCACATGAAGGTCACCTTCAATTTCTTAAATGGAACTTACATTTTCTCTTTACATATTCTTGTAGCTTATCTCGAGAGCTTTCCAAAACACTATAATTAAGTACCTTTTCGTTAAGTACTTTTTGAATTATAAGGCTTGAAATCATTTCTTAATTTTACATAAATCATAAAATATCTTGTAAAATATTCATTTTTCGATTATCTTATATTACTACTTTTATGTACAAAATAATGAGAGGAATCAATTGGTGTAAAGAAAACACATAGTTGTTTCTAAGAAAAAATATGTAATTTGCAATTAACAATTACATATTTTTTCTTAAAAACAACTGTATGTTTTCTTTACACCAATTGATTCCTCTCATTATTTTGTACATAAAAGTATTTAGGTAAGATAATCGAAAAATGAATGGTTTACTAGATATTTTATGGTTTATGTAAAATTAAGAAATTATTTCAAGCCTTATAACTCAAAAAGTACTTAATAAAAAGGTACTTAATTATAGTGTTTTGGAAAGCTCTCGAGGTAAGCTATAAGAATATGCATTGAAAAATGGGGGTTTCCATTTAAGAAATTAAGGTGACCTTCACGTGATCTTCAAACGACTATCCAAGATCAAATCAATGACACCATCTTATGTCCCCCTTCAAGCCATACAACTTTTGTCTGAACAATTTTTTTGTATTCGTTACCAACGGAAACCAAAGTGAAATTGGAAAAATAGCGAACATCGCACTTGTAAAGATAAAATGTAATAGTTAAAATGAAATAATTATGCAAGCATAATCATGAAGTGTGTACTTTACCAATAAATAATTGTTGTATGCAATATTTTGTATTAAACAACAATAAGCGCTGCTACCGCCGGGATTAGTATTAACCAATATGCACCACGAGGAGGTTCCACGGTCGGATTTTGCATATCTTGTGTGTGTGTGTGTGTGTGTGTGTGTGTGTGTGTGTGTGCGCGCGCGCGTGTGTATTGTGTTTCTGTGTCACAGCAGAGATAAGGACTCCACGGTTCGTCACTCCCGTAGT